GCAGGGGCGGCGCGAGCTGCAGTTTGCGTCCTGCGGGCATGTCGGACTTCTTTCGCACCGTACGTAGCCAACCGCGCCAACCGGAGGCGCGGGAGTAGACCGCGAGAGCGAGCGGAGCCGTGGAGGTGGCGTGGAGGTGGCGTGTTGACCGCGTGGCAACTGCAGGATGCAGCAGAGGGAAGGAAGCGACGGCGGCGAGAGGCGCTGGCGTCAACGGCATCGTTGAGGTTGACCTCCTGACCCGGAGAAGGGGATGCCCTGGGTGGAGCACAGAGACGCGGGGAATGCCCCCCCATCCTGACCCTCACCCCCTGCCGCGTGAGGCCGAACCGTGACCCGCGGTGTTGGTTTTGTTGTCTCCGAGCTGCCGGGAGAACCGTGAATCTCCACCATGAGCAGAGTCCACCCAGGCTCCGCAGCATTGATTGAAGACAAGGATTGCTCTGGACCACTTCTGACACGCAGTGTCTCATCAGCAGTCTCTAATCAGCAGTGTATCATCATCATCAGCAGCAGTGTCTCATCAGCAGTGTCTCATCATCATCAGCAGTGTCTCATCAGCAGTGTCTCATCATCATCAGCAGTGTCTCATCAGCTGTGTCTCATCATCAGCAGAGTCGGGCTCGCTCGAGTCAATGCTGCTGGGTGATTTCCTCTATCCCTCTACGCTATGGGGTCCTAGTTGGACGCAAAATGATAAGAGTGATACAACCACTCCAAATAAATACATGGATGTATACGAGGAGATGCGGGCGAAAGTACGAACGCTTCAATGAATGAATCCATTGATGAATGAATCCATTGATGAATGAATCACTGAACGAATGAGGGAACTGTGGGGACGATGGGCGAGTGCGGGTTGCCGGTGTGCGAGTGGGTGACTGCACGGGCAGCAGCAGCAGCAGCAGAAAGCCGCGTGCCGCCTGCAGCCCCAGCGGGGGGTAGGGGCGGGGTGGGGGGTAGGGGCGGGGTGGGGGGTAGGGGCGGGGTGGGGGGTAGGGGCGGGGTGGGGGGTAGGGGCGGGGTGGGGGGTAGGGGCGGGGTGGGGGGTAGGGGCGGGGTGGGGGGTAGGGGCGGGGTGGGGGGTAGGGGCGGGGTGGGGGTGAGGGTCGTGCCGCTTCCACGCCGCACGCCGTGATCCGCGTGCTGCTCCTATTCCCCACAAACGTGGGGGGGGGGTGGGGGGGGTCCGGACCACGTGGGTCGCGACGCGCGCCCCAACCCGACGCAGTTGAGGTTGGGCCCCGGGTCCCCTCGAGGAGTGAACGCAGCGGGCCGCGCGCGCGTGACACCGAGCTGCTGCTGCTGTGCGTGGCACGGACGTGACCCGTCGACACACAGACCGTGTTATCGCGATCTGCGCAAGGGCGTTTCATTCGACCAGATCGTTCACCCCGGAGCGCGGTTGGATGTGGACAAGGTCTCGCAAGCTGAGCAGGCTCGAGCCTGGCGAGAACGACTTTGGTGCGAATGGCTGTGTCACGGCCTGCTTGCTGGCAATGCCGAGTGTCACCCCCCCCCCCTCTCCCGTCGTGTGCGCCACGCGGCTGAGACCATCACCTGGCGTCGCGTACGAGCCCGGGCTCATCACGGGCACCTCTGAACCCCGGGTCACAACTCAGATTCTCGGGTGTTTCCAGAGTCAGGGATTCGCGTCTGCGTGAGATCGTCCCGGGGGGAGTCGGCGGGGGCACGGGGGGTGGGGGTGGAGGGGGCTGACCGTCCCCCGACACCCCTCGATCATCGCCGTGCTTTGTTCAATTCCTCGCTGCGTGTGGATAGTCTATCCACGATCTATCGACTGCTGGACGAAGGCCTCTTGTCGACCTCGTCGTGATAGTCGACCTCGTCGTGATTGTCGACCCCGTCGTGATAGTCGACCTCGTCGTGATTGTCCACCTCGTCGTCCGTCGCCGTCCCTTCGAGGCGTCACGCGTCCCGCCCAGTCCCCACGAGATCTTCTCAGCAGTTGAGACGAAGTCGTTGGCCTGCGTGTCATCTCTAGTCCACGCGTCCCTCCGCACTGCCAGGGACAATGTTCAGTCTCTGTTCCGTGAGCGTGGCCGGGTAATTAGCGATGGGTATCTCGTGCGACTTGAGTCAAACCCGGTGACATCAACTCCCTACACACACACCCTGCCGCCTTCTTCTGTACGTCTCGACATCTGTATCCCCCCGCCCCCCTCCACCAGTAGTTTGGTTGGTTTCATTTGCCGATGGGGACGCCACGAACTGTGAAGAGAGGCGCGTGGCGCGTTGGCAGGACGCGCCACGGCGAGCCGAGGGCACGATGGCCGGCGTGATACCGGAGTGGAAGTCAAGGAATTATAATGATGGTGGTGATGGTGTTAATGATGGTGGTGATGATAACGTTGGTAATGATGGTGGTGATGATGGTGGTGATGATGGTAATGATGACGATGGTGATGATAATGTTGGTAATGATGGTGGTGATGATGGTAATGATGACGATGGTGATGATAACGTTGGTAATGATGGTGGTGATGATGGTAATGATGACGATGGTGATGATAACGTTGGTAATGATGGTGGTGATGATGGTAATGATGGCTATGGTGATAACGTTGGTAATGATGGTAATGATGGTGGTGATAGTCAAACCGAGTGGGGATATGCCACTCTGAGCCCTGTTAGCCAAGTCTACGCATGGGGCTCTGTGTGCGACTCCGCCGCGTGTGGGGAGCGGTGGCGCAGCGGTTAGTGAGTTACACTCCGAACCCAGCGCCTTCCGCTCATGGCCGCAACGCCGGTGACGATTATTCATAATCTTGGGCCTCCCCTAGGTCGACTCAGCCTCAAATGAGTCCGTAGTGCGGTGTCTCTGCCACTAGGAAGACAAAGGCGGCCGGGCGTTGCTAGTGGCCACCCTTGTGTGCCGTGTGGGCCTGCCGAGGTGCTCGCTAACAGCACTTGGCCCACAAGTATGTTGAGGCAACGAGGGGGGCGGGATCTTTGTCTTTGTCTGCATACCCCGTACAGCCCGGGATATGCAGGATCTCGAAAGCTAAGCAGGTTTCAACCTGGACGGTGCTTATAGCAGGTGCTATAGGCCACGGACTGCACGGCTGAGTGACTGGCATCAGAGGACCAGCGCAGCAAAACAAATGCATTGTTAATAATGACAAGTTTTTTTACCTGGAAACAAAACTGACCTTTTTTTACAAGGAGTCATGTTTGCATTGACCACAATACCTGCGGTCGGAATGCAAACAAAAACATAACTCTGATAATGTATGCACGGTCTTTGAAATTGATTGGTCCACACCCGAGACAGCTTTCTTTAGAGCCTAGTCTCACCCTGGTGTTGGACCAGATGACGCCAAAAGGCGCACAACTCAAAGACAATGCACCATCAGAGTATGAGAGCTCGGGGTAAGCATTTACACCATTGGAACCTCATTTGCCAGTAGCAAAATATGATAATTGGTTTTTGACTCCTTGTAAAAAAGGTGTCAGTTTTGTTGCCAGATAAAAGGGTAAAACCCAATAATTATATTTTGCTACTGGCAAAGGAGGTTCCAATGGTGTAAATACATTGTTGTACAGTACTGTACGTCTATGTTTCCGCGGCTGTTTGTCTCCGCTGTCATCCGACCCGTGCTGACCTGCGTGGTGAAGTATGGTCGAATAACCCCCGCTCAGCATGGGGGAGGCACCCCATCCAGCAGTGGATAGAGAGTGAGGAGGACTCGTGTGAGTGAAGCCAGGGGCTTGCCGCGCTGTTATTTTAATTGTAAATCGCGGTTAGTTTCAGCTCGCTTGTCCAAAGGTCCCCCAAACGCCAAGCGGCCAGCAGCAAACCGCACCATCAGAGCTGTACGCGAAGAGAGTTCACCTCGGTGGAAGGGAAGCATCAGGGACAATCGGGATCAGGGAGCGGCGTGGGGATTGGGGCTGCCTGGTGAGGGATGATCAAAGGGGGAGGGGGGGGGGGTCAATAGATGGGGATGGTGGCATTGACCCCCCCTCGCTCCCCATCCCCTACTGGAAACTTGACTCCGCCTTCTGTAGAGAATAATAATGATGATGATGACTGCTACTCTGCAGCGAGATCAGCTCCCAGACTTCGCCGTGGATTTCGCAGCGAGACGCCGCCCTTCATCACGGCGACCGGCTGCAGCTGCCTGCATCTGTTTTATGTGTGAAGGTGGAGGTGGTGGGGAGGGGTGGGGGTGGTGGTGGGGGGAGGGGTGGTGGGGAGGGGTGGTGGGGAGGGGTGGTGGGGGGAGTGGGGGGAGTGGGGAATCCGCCCCGACCTGCGTCAGTGCGCTCCTCCCGGCTCCCCCGCTCTCACTGCCACCGCTCCCGTTCACTCAGCGACAACAGAGTCCGGCCTCTCGCCCTCTCCGCCCGTCAAGAAGTCTCCGGGTGTCTGAGGGCCAGGCCGCAGCGGGCGGACCTGTACAGTGTGGAAGGTTTCCGAAAAAACAAAAGTATGGGGGGGGGGGGGGGATTGTGCGCTTATGGGACACGGGGGAGGGGGCGGGCGTAGTGGTGGGGGGTGATGAGGGTGACGATGAGGTGGGGGAAGGTCTTTGGGCTTCCGCTGATTTCTATTTTCACGCTGCTCATTAACCTGTGGAGAAACTGTTGACATCCATCCTCCCCTCGTCTCCCCCCACCCCTCCCCCCGTCTCCCCCCACCCCTCCATCTCCCCCCCCCCCGCTCCACCCCTCCATCTCCACCCCCCGCTCCACCCCTCCACCACCCCACCCCTTCCAGGCTACATTTGTATTTTTCATTCCTGTTCTGCTTCATGGCAAAGCCAGACGCCGTGGGTTCATTAAATGAGAAATCTGTGAAATATTCATGAACAAGGGACTTGGGGAACTTCCAAGCGGCTCGGAAGAATGGGGGGGGGGGGGGGGGCGTTCCGTGGCGTGGAGGGGGGTGAGGAGGGGGGGATTGGGGAGGGGCGTCTCTTAGAATCAGAATGTTTATTTATACTGCAGGAATCCGATGAGCTATAAAGCTCCAGTATTTCACAGATGTTATCCATCCCAGGGTCAGTGTTTGGTGGTGGTGGGGGGGGGGTAAGCAGGTGGGGTTCCCCAGGTGAGGTGGGGTCTTCCAGGTGAGGTCCCCCAGGTGAGGTCCCCCAGGTGAAGTTTCACACTCAGGCCACGTGAAGCACAATAACCGAGCACCAGGAAGTCTCAGAGATCTCTTGATCAGTGCCTGCCTCGTGCACTCATGTCCAGAAGCTTGGCCGCGCATATGATGATGATGGTGGTGGTGATGATGATCGTGGAGATGATGACGATGACGATGTTGCTGCTGCTGCTGCTGTAGCCCTGGGTAGTTCTCTCTTGGGCGGAGAAGCTGCCAGAACCTCAAATGCCTCAAATACTTCGCCACGTGAAACGCGTTGTGTTTTTGTTGGGAAGAGGAGCCCTGCCTGGACCTGGACACCGTGGCTCCAGGAGGCTCCGTGCAGGCTCCGGGAAGATCTCGGAAGCTGCGGGAGACACGGGGGGGGGGGGTGGGTGGCGGACACCAGTGGGAGACAGTAGCAGGAGTTGAGGGGTGCAGGGAGACGCAGGGAGACGCAGGGAGGAGGAGGCACCGGTGCCGTCCGGGGCCCCCGTGTGGAGCTGCACTTGTTTTTCTTACCGTTTCGCTTCATCCGCCTTCTCTGCTGCTGCTGCTACCCAGGAGCCGCGCGGTGCCTCATGGAGTCGAATTCCCCGTGGCCTCTGGGGAGCGCGAGAGCGAATGCGCGAGAGTGCGAGAGAGAGAGTGCGTGTGAGAGTGTGTGTGAGAGTGCGTGTGAGAGTGCGAGGGAGTGCGTGAGTGTGTGTGTGAGAGTGCGTGTGAGAGTGAGTGAGAGTGATAGTTGCGTGCGAGTTGTGTGAGAGGGCGAGGTCGAGTGAGAGAGTGCGAGGGTTGTGTGAGAATTGTGTGCGAGCCAATGTGTGAGAGAGTGCGAGAGTGAGGGTTGTGTGAGGGTGCGAGTTGTGTGTGAAGTGAGAGTGCGAGTGAGAATTGTGTGCGAGCCAATGTGAGAGTGTGAGAGAGTGTGAGTGTGAGAGTGAGGGTTGTGTGAGAGTGCGAGTGAGAGTTGTGTGAGAGTGAGAGTTGTGTGAGAGTTGTGTGAGAGTTGTGTGAGAGTGAGGGTTGTGTGAGAGTGAGAGTTGTGTGAGAGAGTGAGGGTTGTGTGAGACGGCGAGTGAGAGAGTGAGAGAGTGTGAGAGAGTGTGAGAGTGTGAGAGTGTGAGAGTGTGAGAGTGTGAGTGAGAGTGTGAGAGAGAGTGAGAGAGTGAGGGTTGTGTGAGAGAGTGAGGGTTGTGTGAGACGGCGAGTGAGAGAGTGAGGGTTGTGTGAGAGTGTGAGAGTGTGAGTGAGAGTGTGAGAGAGAGTGAGAGTGAGAGAGTGTGAGAGAGTGTGAGACAGTGTGAGAGTGTGAGTGAGAGAGTGAGAGTGTGAGAGAGAGTGAGAGTGAGAGAGTGTGAGAGAGTGTGAGACAGTGTGAGAGTGTGAGTGAGAGAGTGAGAGAGTGAGAGAGTGAGAGAGTGAGGGTTGTGTGAGAGTGTGAGTGAGAGTGTGAGAGAGAGTGTGAGAGAGAGTGTGAGAGAGTGTGAGAGAGTGTGAGAGAGTGTGAGACAGTGTGAGAGTGTGAGTGAGAGAGTGAGAGAGTGAGAGAGTGAGAGAGTGAGGGTTGTGTGAGAGTGTGAGTGAGAGTGTGAGAGAGAGTGTGAGAGAGAGTGTGAGAGAGAGTGTGAGAGAGTGTGAGAGAGTGTGAGAGAGTGTGAGAGAGTGTGAGAGTGTGAGTGAGTGAGAGTGAGAGAGTGAGAGCGTGAGAGAGTGAGGGTTGTGTGAGACGGCGAGTGAGAGCGCTCAGGCGGGTTCACGCTGACCGGTCCGCTGCTGGTGTTGACCGTGATTGAGAATCCAACTCAGGTCTCAGTGTTCGTGACTCCGTCACCGATCCTCATCTTCACACACAAAGACAAAGATCCCCCGTATAGCCCAAACAGACTGCTGGGGCAAGTGCAGTTAGTAACACCTCTGAAGGCCGACACGGCACACAACTGGGTGGGCGGGCAGAACCTTGCCCGACCACCTTTGTCTCTCCAAGTGCTGATGTTTGCACACCACAGTTGGTACTAATTTAAGGGCGAGTCTATATCTAGGGGACAACCAGAACTGGCTCAGATTATTGTCTGAATGTAATTCGGATTCGTCGTTTTTGTAGCGCGGCGCGCTAACCGCTGCGCCACCGCTCCCCCCCAGACACGCGCCCCCGCAGGTGCGAGAGCGCCACGTGGCCCTGGATGAGCGAGTCGCTGTGACCACGCGCGGGGGGGGGGGACAATCGTGAAGGGAGCCGCAGCCACCAGGGCTCACAGCGCTGTGCATGACGAGGGAGCTCACCCCCCCCCCTATCTGCCCCCCCCACTCTGCTCCCCCCCCTCTTCTCCTCTGCTCCCCCCCTCTGCCTCACCCCCTCTGCTCCCCCTCCCCCCCCAGGGTATTCGTCTGGACCCCCCAGCATGGCCCAGTGAGCACAGTCGCCGGCCCCCAGCTGCCCCCGCTCCCTCCCACCTCTCACCTCTCCAGGTGAGCTCCCCCCCCCCCCCCTCAATGCCCTGACACCCATCAGCGCGCTGTGCGAGCAAGTCCCATACCTCTGCAGCTGGGCTATTGTCCGAAACGTCGGCGATCACGTGCGTGCGTGTTTCATAACGAGGGCCGTGTTACTGGCGAATGTGTCGATGTTTATGATGTTACAGCTGCTGCTGGTATGATGCTGCTGCTGGTATGAGGCTGCTGCTGGTATGACGCTGCTGTTGTTGCTATGATGCTGCTGCTATATTGAGGCTGCTGTTGTTGGGCTATCGCTCGAGGCAGCCTCAGCTCCCAGGAGCCGACAGCCGTGAGAGTGACGAGTGAGTGACGAGGTCTGATTAATTCACCGGAGCAACCACCGTCCCCCCCCCTCCTCCCCGTCCGCTCTCCTGGGGGGAAATTCCCGTGCACCCCCAGCGCCCCCCCCCCATCCCAAGTGGGGGTGGAGGGGGTAGGGGGCAGACAGCGTTCAGCCACGCGCCGCGGGGGGTAGCCCCCCCCCCCCCTCTGTAGAGACGCCCCGGCACGACTCGGAATGATTCCCGCCGGAGTCGTTGCTGTTCGCGTTACACCAAGTAAATCACCTGCAGCAGCAGCAACACCATCACTCGCGTTCTCCCCTCGTCCTTCGCCGTGTGGTCGCTGTCGCTGCAGGGCAACAGCGAGCTGTGGTTCACATTGAGAGGTCGTCGCCCCAGGGTGACTTGCGGAGCGGAGCATCGCTGCGATGACACCTCCGCCTCCCTCCCTCCGTATTTGCAAATCCGGTGCCGAATCGTTTCATGCTCCAGGGTTCTGTTCTGGGCACCACTGAACGGAGATTTTTTAAAATGAATTTTCCATTCGTCATCATCATCAGCGGCGAGTAGAGCCGCCGTTGCCATAGTTTGTGTGCGGTCGCGAGTTCGGGTGGTGGTCCGTGAGATCCGAAGCCAGGGAGCTCGTGCGCCAGGCTTCTGCGAGGAGGAGTTTTTGTGGCTTCTTGTGCAGCACATTCGGCCTTCCAAGCATCATCGTGAGGGTTGAAGTTGCATCGTTATAATCACCAGGGTCTCATCAGCAGTAAACCAGGACCCATCCATGCAGGATTGGTTCAAGCGAGACAACGACCTGCAGGATTGGTTCAAGCGAGTCTGACTGCTGACGAGCCACTGAATGCCAAAACCGGTGCGGAGTTTTTCGTGGGTTGAACCAATGCCGCTGACAATGTCGTGACGAGGCCGATGAGAGGTGCACATCATCATCATCCTCGTGGGGTTGTAGATGCGGAGACCCCGATATGTAAAGGAGGCGGATTGTGGGGTTATATATTTATATTCATGAGTATTTGCGTGATCACCTGCGCAGGTGGCTCCCGCTGCTGCCGGCCTCCGTCTGTCCCGGGGCGGAACGAGTCTGGGCGCGTGCCGAGTGCGAGACGGGAAGCGACTTGGGCACGAGTCGTACGTGGGACGCGTGAGACGCGTGAGACGGGGCCGTGCGTGGGACGTGAGTGTGACGGGACCCCGCGGGTGATGGCGCTGCTCTCCGACAATTATAATCACCAGTCCGATCGCAAGTGACGTCTCCGAAGCCACCGTCTTAGTCGGGTAGCCTTGTCGGGGAGAGGACAGGGGACGGGGTGCAGAGGGGGGAGGAGGCGAGGGTAATAGCGGGCAGCGTGTGCAGGAGGGCTGCTTCTAGACGGCGTTTGTGGTAGGGTCAGTGCAGTGGATAGGGGGAATGGTACTGGAGTTGTAAACGGGTTGGAGTTGGGATTGGCGTTGCGCAGTTACGGGTCGGGATGTGAGCTGTGCGAGTGTCGTGGCCAGCACTATGGCTTTGTTCGCGATAGTGTGGTGGCTATGGTTGCGTTCGCGATAGTGCGGTGGCTATGGCTGTGTTCGCGATAGTGTGGTGGCTATGGCTGTGTTCGCGATAGTGTGGTGGCTATGGCTGTGTTCGCGATAGTGTGGTGGCTATGGCTGTGTTCGCGATAGTGTGGTGGCTATGGCTGTGTTCGCGATAGTGTGGTGGCTATGGCTGTGTTCGCGATAGTGTGGTGGCTATGGCTGTGTTCGCGATAGTGTGGTGGCTATGGCTGTGTTCGCGATAGTGTGGTGGCTATGGCTGTGTTCGCGATAGTGTGGTGGCTATGGCTGTGTTCGCGATAGTGTGGTGGCTATGGCTGTGTTCGCGATAGTGTGGTGGCTATGGCTGTGTTCGCGATAGTGTGGTGGCTATGGCTGTGTTCGCGATAGTGTGGTGGCTATGGCTGTGTTCGCGATAGTGTAGTGGCTATGGCTGTGTTCGCGATAGTGTGGTGGCTATGGCTGTGTTCGCGATAGTGTGGTGGCTATGGCCGTGTTCGCGATAGTGTGGTGGCTATGGCTGTGTTCGCGATCGTGCGGTGGCTATGGCTGTGTTCGCGATAGTGTGGTGGCTATGGCTGTGTTCGCGATAGTGTGGTGGCTATGGCTGTGTTCGCGATAGTGTGGTGGCTATGGCTGTGTTCGCGATAGTGTGGTGGCTATGGCTGTGGCTGTGTTCGATAGTGCGGTGGCTATGGTTGCGTTCGCGTTGGTGGCTGTGGTTGTCGCCGTTGCGGTCCGCGTTGGGTGTCGTGAGCGGGTGAGGCTGTGGCTGAGGCTGTGGCTGACCGTCTCGCCGCCTCTGGGCGTCACCGCGCATCGCTGAGCCGACGTCGCCCCCTGCTGCCCGCAGCCTCAATCACGCGGGCAGCAGCGGTCAGCGAGCGGGGAGGGGGTCATTGACAGGGGGGATCATTTATCAGGGCTCAGTAAGCGGGGATCATCGATTAGGGATCGTGGATACAGGATTCTGTATCCGGGATTAAAGATCGCGGAGGAGGAGGAGGGCCGTCGTGTATGGAGGACGAGGAGGGATCAGGGCGTGGTGGATGCGGGGGCCTTGCACTGGGCGAGTTTGCGGGTCGTGGAGGAGGGATCAATGAGAAGGGATCGTGTCTCAGGAGCCACGCTGCAGGCAGCAGGGAATAGGGATCACGCGGAATCAATGTCGCGCTCCGTGTGGGGCCCCCCTCGTCGCGTTAGTGGCCGCAGGGGGAGTTGGGGGTGGCGGGCTGGGAGGGGGGGGACACGTGGGGGGTGGTGGGGGGGGGGTGGTGGGGGGCGGTGGTGGTGGTGGGGGGTACACTTGAAGTGGCGCTCCCCACACCACCTCCCCCCCACCCCCCATCTGCATCTCGCGGTGGGTGGGGCGAGGGGGTTCAAAGCGAGTCCCCGGCGCTTGAGGATTAAGCATTGCGTGAAGAATCGCAATGCACAACTCGCCCCCCCCACCCCGAGCCCCCCCCCCACACCCCATCGCGACCCCACGCGTGGGGTCTTGAGTCGGCGTCCCGCTTTTTGCAGGTGACCCCGGTGCGAGCAAGGGGGGTCTGATCCGGCGGGAGGTAGCGTGGTGTGTGTGGTGTGTGTGTAGTGTGTGTGTAGTGTGTGTGTTGTGTGGTGTGTGTAGTGTGTGCGGTGTGTGTGCGGTGTGTGTGTGTTGTGGTGCGTTGTGTGGTGTGTGTGTGTTAGCTGGGGGTGGGGGGGGAGATATCGGCATTGTCATTGGAGCCGCCACTGGGTGTGAGGGGTAGGAGTAAAGCCCCAGCCACGTTCGCACCCCTCACCCCGAGCTGCTTTGTTTCTCCCCCCCCCTCCTCCCCCCTCGACAACAAAAGCGGCGCCTCCGGATTGATTTCATAGCAGGACACGGCCCGCCCCCACGCGGCCCCCACTGGCCACGGGGCCCCCACTCGCAGTGCAAAATGTCCTTCGCTTAACATTTCACTTAATTACAGAGCTCGTGAACATGCTAATGAGGCTGGCCACGCGGCGGCCGGTCGTGGCGTCTGTGCGCCGTTCCGTCCGTGCGTCAAATATCTCTATTTTGGTAGCGCGCTGGCGGGAGGTAGCAGGGGCAGAGGGGGGGGGGGGTGGAGGGGGGGGGGCTGGAGGGGGAGGGAGGAGGGGGAGGGCAGCCACTAATGAGATCCAGCGCCGTGTAACCCGCGGAGAAGTGCGCGTCGCGCTATCTCCGCCGTGCGTGCGGCGCGGAGCAGCGCCGCTAATCTGCCGCTAACAGGCGGCCCAGTCATCAGCCCCAAAAAACTCGCAGCTCATTTGCTTATGAATAGTCATGCGGAGATAGCGCCTCGGCCGCCTCCCTCCTCCTCCTCCTCTCTCCTCCTCCTTCTCTCTGAGTGGCCGCTAACGTCACTTGATATTCACGGCACACATCAGATTTGCATGCCGCGCGCCGTGGCTGTGGCCATGTCGCTCTCTCTCTCTCTCTGTATTTATTTATTTTATTTCTCAAAACTTTGGCTCATTATCTCGGTGGCCATAAATGTGCAGATAAAACACACGCGGCCCCCCACCCCACCCCCCCAATTCGTAAGCAAATTCCTCGCGCGCCGCTTTCTTCATGCGAGGCGACCATAGCGCCGCTCGAGATACTTGATGATTTATATTTGTCCCCGTGCACCCTATCTGTGCTCATTTCACTTCACCCACACACACACGAGATACACACACACACAGATGATACACGTTCAGAGATACACACACAAACAAAGGTCTCACTCCATCCCGTGTAGCCTACGCAGGCCGATGGGGCAAGGGATTTTTAGCGAACGGCATCTACAAAGACCGGAACGGCGCACGAATGGGTGTAGCCGGAACGACCACCCACCCCCAGCCGCCTTTGTCTCCCTGGTTATGATGTTTGTGCATCGCGCCGGGTGCTCACATGTGGCTGAGTCGACCTAGGGGAGACCCAGTGATATTTTGTCGTGAGCGAGAATCGAACTCGGATGGCCGGGTTCGTAGCGCAGTGCACTACCGCTCCCCATAATGACAACATTAGAACAAGAACAGCGGCCATTCTCAACTAAGTGTCTGTGAAGTCATCGCGGCGCTTGTGCCAGGCTAGGTGCACTTCTAATCCGCATGAAGTGTCGAAGGCTCGCTGACATGTGTTCACGGGACAGACGCAGTTGCCATGGATTGACTGAGATGACTGCAGATGCACCACTTGGGTTCCATGCTGTATTCTTAGGTTTTTTCTGTATTTTAACCACCTGGCGCTCCGACCGTTGTTGTGAGCGTCGCTCGTCCGTCCCCCGCTTGTGTTGCATGGAGACTGCCTCCCACTGCCCAGCAGCAGCAGCGTCCTTCACGAGCCTCCTACACAGAATCCGATCTTGGCACTGCTGGTACCAATCGTCGGCAAGTCCACTCAGCTCCACATCCTCCTGTACCACATCACTCCATCTCTTCTCTAGCCTGTGCTGCGCCCGTTTAGCACCCTCTATTCGATCAAACATTAGCTGCTTGGGCAAGCAGTGTGGCTGGACATGAGGGCTACATGACCCAGCCAACACAGCCTTTCAAGCATAGAGAAGGGAAGGCATAACTCGGCACGGACTGTAGAAGAGATGGACTGATATGGTGCAGGAGGATATGAGCCGAGCGGACTTGCCGAAGACTGGTACCAGCGGTGTCAAGATCGGCCGGCCTCTTTAAATGTGGCTTGTGAAGGGCGCTACTGGGCAGTTGGAGGAAGTCACCCTCCAACAGCAGCGGAGGACCGAGGAGTGACGCTCACCACAATGAGTGGCGCACCGGGCGACTAAAATACATCAAGTTGGCACAGTGGGGAGCACAGGTGGTGCAACTGCCAGTCATCCCAGTCAACCCGTGGCACCTGGGTCCGTTCCATGACCTCTTGCAAAGCAAGCCTTGTACACCTCAGATGGCCTGAAAGTGCACCTAGCCTGGCACACGTGCCGTGGTGACGTCACCTGCAAACTTAGTGGCGAATTATGGCTATTGTTGTTGTTGTTGCTTTTGTGTGGTCGTGGTGGGAGATGGGAGGGAGAGTCGGAGCAAGAGTTCGCTATATGAAAGCATGCGGCCCGTATCTTAGGCGAGCAATTGGAAGGAGCTGATGAGGAGAGACAGACGTCCGCTCAGAGCTCATCAGAGGATTAGGATTACTGGGGGACGTGAGGAGCAGGAGCAGGAGGAGGAGGAGGAGCAGGCGCCGTTATCGGCGGTAGCAGCTCCGGTCGTGACGGAACGGGGCCTGCATGGGGGGCGGGCGGGAGGGATAGGGTGGGGGGGTTGGGGGGAGCAGGGGGCTCCTACCCCCCCCCACGGCCCCTCCAGATGAGGCAGCAGGTATTTTTTTTATCCCTAGAAATTAAAAAGGGAAATTATGCCCGTGGTCCCGCCGCGCCCACCGCTCTCCGCGTGTGACGCGCGGCGAGCGGCGTGTGACGCGTCTCCCGTGTTGTTGTTGTTGTTGCCACCTGTTGTCTGTAAACAGATGGCAACAACGTGGAGTGGCCAGCAACAACCGGCACGGTAAAAGTTGTAATCGTTCACAGGTTTCTTAAATTGAGCAAGGTTGTTGCGATAATAGCTCTGGGGGAAGAGGGAGAATGATGGGAGGAGGAACTTCCGTAGTGAAGCAGCACGAGGGAAGACGCAGAAAGAGAAGTGAGGTGACCTGCAGTTTGGTGAGTGGGTGGGTGAGTGAGTGGGTGGGTGAGTGGGTGAGTGAGTGAGTGGGTGGGTGGGT